GGGGGGGCAAACGAGAAGACAAATTGAACGCTAGATTTAGATCCCCGGCCTTGTTTCTCTGCCCCTCTCGCCGACATCTTGACTTACTCAAAAGCAACATTTCTGAGAACGAAACTATTGTATAGGGTGATTTAGGAGGGTGGATCAAAAAGAAAAGAGACTTGGATTGTTTTTACGCCCCCATCGACACACTTTTGGTCATTTGGGAGGCGAGCTTCCGAAACTGCTTGACAGCCGGCCCGAGTTGAAAGGGATACTTCCCAACAGAAAGACCGAGATGCTCCATGACAATTTTCTTCCCACTCAGGAAAGCGAATTCGGTTCTCTTGCGTGCCTAGCCGCAACACCACAGATGCCGCTGGCTTTGGCTTTTAGGAAAAGATATTATGTCAGAAAGTTTATTTTCCAACTCACCTGTGCTAGTATCAAAATGATAACTTTCAATATCTGCGTCTGAGAGCTGACGAATCGAGGTCTTTTGTTCTTTGCTCCACTCTTGAAAATGCGATAAATGCGCACGGACTTGACAAAGAGAGGGGAATAGAGTCCTGTGAAGCTGAGGCAGAACATGAAAAACAGCGCCCCACACGTCTCGTGAGTGGGCGGGGCCTGAAATAAGATCACCGTGACGTAGCCAATCAGAATCCCGGAAAGCTGCAAGAAGCTAAGTTCACGGCTCGTGGCTTTAATGATGCGGTTGTGACGTAGCTTCACGTAGTACACGATGATCGCCAGGGTGACCAAGATGGCGGCAAGGCCCAGGCAGATCTGGATGAGAGGAAGCGTGTCTGAGGCGGCCGGGAAAGTCATGGGGATGGCCGTGCATGTCGTGAGGCGTGTGCTCATGCTGGGCCACGTGTAAGGATCACAAACCACGCAGCTGGAGTTATCCGGAGACAGCCTCTCGTTCTCTCTACACCGACGACATTCCCAGCAGCATGGCAGCTCTCTCTGGATGCGGTACTCCCCCAACACACACGGCCGACTACAAACCGATTCCGGGATATCCGATCTCGCCTCTCCGGCTGGAAGTGGAACAACCAGTTTTTTCACTGTGAATTCTTTCCACGACATGGCATTTTCGGTGTATTCAAAAGTCTCTGTTTCAACATCGTACACTGCAATATTTCGCTCTATGATAGTCCCGGACCCCGTACGAGCTCTGCCATCATTGTTCGTGTTATTAGAGTTGTACGTGTCTCCCTCTGTGGATTGGAGGGTGTATTGCAATACTTTGTACTTTCCTTTAAGGTTTCCTTGCTTATCAAAACGGATGCGCCCCGTAACTCCTGAAAAATCGAGTTGCTTCATGTATTGAAGAAGGCGTTCACCAGTTAGACACTGCCTCGCCTTAGCTCCTTCTATACCTGGACACACGTCGCTGAGTAGTTTGTGAATTGCATGGGCGTATGTAAACACTGAGTCAATAACGAGAGAGGCAGATGTGACAAACTCAAAATGTTTTAAATCGCTTAGTCTTTCGTTACTGTTACAAGTACCATTCTGGAAGCTACAGGAGTCCAACATTTCCCAAGTGTCTCTCAGCCACGGGTTGGTCGTATTCGTCACTCGTTGTCGATTCAGATATTCGTAAAAGCTCGGCACTGCCCTTGAGAAAAATGTAAAGGTGAACATCCCTTGTATTTCCTGCTCGTCTCCTTTAAAAGTGAACGCTCTCTCCGTCAAGCCGTCCCCACCGACCCAGATAAAGTGTCCGTGAAGCTGGAGGTGTCTCACAGCGGCGAACAATCCTTTAGCCGTGGAGTAGATGGCGAAGATGATGACGACACGAGCACGGCGGTAAGAGTAAAGGTTCTTGGTGATACTCACGAAATCGTCGTCGGGCGCAGTCCTGTGTGACGTCGCGATACATATGTTGTACCGCGAGGCCCAGTACTTGATGCTGTCGAAACCGTTCTCGCCGTAGGGGCCTCTGGAGTAGACGACAGATATGTAAGACCAGCCGTTGGAGACCAGGAAGTTGATGATGGCTTGTGCCTGGTCGTGGTCGGGCGGCACGACCCGCATGAAGTAAGGGTGAAGGTCGTTGTCGCTCAGAGAATCGCTGGTCGCCTGGAAGCTGAGGATCGGGACTTGAGCCACGGCGTAAAGGTAGGAGACGGGTACGCTAGCTGCGCTGGTCGACGGTCCGAGAATGCCAACTACGTCGTAATGCGATGAGGTAAGATTTGACTGGGAGGTGTTTGAATTGGATATAGATACGGAGTCAGATGAGGATAACGATGACGACGATGACGATAGCGATGAACAATCAGAAGGAGATCCGTTTACACCATCAGGGCACCTGACTTCAACCCTCGGCAAAAACGCCAAAGAGGCAGCCACCGCCATGTTGTAGCTGGTGCAGTCATCCACTATGGTGAAGCCTAACGTCACATTGGGCAAAAGAGTCGGGTCCCTGTTCACCCTATCCACCGCGTAGGAAACCGCTTCTATGTACTGAATGACCCATGCGGACACCTCAATGTCTCTTCTACACCGAAAATTGACACCGTCCATTGTAGTTATACTAAAAATAGCACCAATAGACACATCACCGGGTTGGTGGAACGTCCTTTCAGGAAGGCCGTACAGTTTGAAGTAAGTGTTTTTTGGACGCGGAAATGACGAGTGTACTTCGGAGAATGACGTGTCTTCACCTTCGTGAAGCAAAGTCCCAGAAAGCTGAGCAGCTCCAACGTTGGAAATTTCTTCAGACCCATTCGCTGGTGAGATCGGCACTTCAGACGTGTTTTCAATGACGATGAGAGTCATGCAAGTACTAAATAAAGCAGCCAAAAATGCCACAACGAGGATAAGAAAGGCCATAGTTGGTAATTGTATGGATTTTAAACTGGTTTCCAACCCTTTACGGTTATATAAGTCGTGGGATCTCCAAATCTAAAAGTCTGACATGGACGGAGCTAGGTAGATGGAAAGCTTTGAGAACTCCCCAGAGAACAGAAAATCAAGAACGCCATTTGAGAATTTGTGTCAAGGTCATCCTTCTTAATAGTTCAACTTAATACCAATTGATTAAGCTATTGACATGCCAGAAGGAGAGAAAGAAGATGAAAAGAAGGGAAAAGGCGGAGAAAGGGGGAAGGGGCATTTCCTGAGACCACTCTTTGGTGCCGGAATGAAAACTTTAATAGCCCAAACTGATACCAGTGAATTGAGTAAATGGCACGCCACAAAAATAGGAAGAAAAAAAGGAGAAAGAAGATGAGGAGGAGGAGGAAAAGGAAGAGAAAGGGAAATGGGTATTTTGTGGGGCCAGTTTCTGGTGCCAGAATGAAAGCTTAAAGGAAGAAACTGTATCAACGTGAAGTTTTAGTCAGTCCACCAAGCTGAAGGCGAAGAAATCTGCTCAGTACAGACGCTCCTAGTAGACAGGTCGTGTTTTTTTATACGGTCTCGTATTACAACTGAAACTGCGCTATCGCCCACCTATATGAAGCAATCACCTATACAAACGGCCCCTTCCCTTTCCACTTATTGTTTTTTTCTGGAAAATGACACAGTCTATAACGGCCACTTTCTCTTCAACAACGACTGGCTGTTGTAGATAATATCGACTGTACATAATTGTAGAATATTTACTTCACTTTCTTCACTATTTAGATCATTTAGGAGGCTGCTTCAAACTTGCCACTCAGATCAAACCCCGACTGAGAAGGATACAAAGTCACATATAAGAGACGGGTATACTTGATGGAAATTGTCCCCACATGGTATGGTAATGGAACTCAGGCATTCTACGCACGACGGCGAAGCGAATTACCGCTACACCACAGACGCTTTTATGGCATTGTGTGGGTGCCATATTTGAGCCGGAAATGGCCAGAAATTAATGTTACGACTGAACAAGGCATGTCCTCTATAGATTCTTGAGAAGGTGGAAGCCAGAAAGCCTTTCTGGAAGTTCGATCTTTGCTGACGTCAGGCTTTTTTTCTCGTTTTCCGAAGATCTTAGCCTGATGTGCCCTAGTTTCTCGTATTCCTGAGTTCTGTTTGCTGACGTATACAATTATTTCTCTTGTACCGTAGATCTTAGTTGACGTATTGTCTGTTGTATCCCGTAGATCTTAGCTGTCGTCACACTTGTGTCTCATGTCATATTCCAGAGATTTTCGCTGACGTACATGATTGTTTCTTGTACTCCTTACTTCTTATAGCTGACGTCACATTTGATTCTCATGGTCTAATGATCTTAGTTTACGTCACACTCGTGTTGCTCATTTTCCAGGCATCTTGTAGCTGACGTCACACGCTTGTTTCTTGCATTACGACGACTTGTTTATGTTGAAGAGAGCCCGGACGCTGAAGATGCCCACATCTCACAATGTGTCCTTGTCTGAAAATATAGTAAGTTCTGTCAATACGTTACATTATCAATGGTAACTTCTGTCTAAACCAAAGCAGCTTCCCACTTTTTATTTAGGTAGCCATTTGAAATTGCAGTTAAAGAGAGAGAGGGGGAGAGATAAAGGAAGAGGGGGAGAGAGAGAGGGGGGGAGGGAGAGAGGAGAGAGAGAGGAGAGAGAGAAAGAGAGAGAGAGAGGGAGAGAGAGAGAGAGAGAGAGAGAGAGAGAGAGAGAGAGAGAGAGAGAGAGAGAGAGAGAGAGAGCAAGAGAGATGGGAGGGAGGGAGGGACGGAGAGTGAGAGACAACGGGGAAGAAAAAGAAAGAAAGACAGAAAAACTGAAACAATAAAGAAAGAAAGAAAGACAGTAAGAAAGAAAGAAGCAAACAAACAAACAAACAAAAACAGAAAAAGAAAAGACTGAAAAAGCGGTTTCGGAAACGTCCATTGCCACCGCAGTGGTATTTTGTCTCAAATAAAAGTTGTTTTAGTTCAACCTTTTCTCTAACTCCTTACATAGTGCGGAATTCTCAATTATTTAATGACGTTCTTGTTTTGTTTTTGGGTTGTTTTTTTCTTTTGTTGTTGTTGTTGGCTTTTTGGGGGGGTGAGGTTATTTGTTTTGAGTTTTGTTGTTGTTGTTGTTGGTGGTGGTGGTGGTGTTGTTGTTGTTGTTTTACGACTCAAACAAAAGAAAGGCCAATCTCGCGGTGTTCGACCAACTCCCCTAGCAACGAACAGCCAGCGCTGTTATATTAGTGGGGGGGGAAATAATTCTCTTATGTTCTTTAAAATAATGGGGGGAAAAATTCAAGCGAGAAAAACAAAACAAAAATGAGGATGTTTTTTTTTTTTTGGGGGGGGGGGTGGGGGGGCAATTAAATGGTTCGTAAGGTCTCTGGAGACAAACAAATAGCTATAAAAAGATCTAATTCCCTTCACGGTGAATCACGACTTTTTGCTACAAAGCCGCACAGTAAGATGATGGTTATTGATGATGTAATAAGGACTAGTCCACGCGAAACCACCAAGCCTTGTCACTAGCAATTAAAAATAGGATTGGTTGAAGAGAAGTAGGTAATTAATGTTTACAACTCACTTAAAATCGCAAAATCGTTTGTATGCGATTACGATGATATCGAACTCAGAACGTCACCAGCCATAGCGAATACATCGACTAACAAAGAAAGATAATATATTAAATCAGTGAGAAAACAGAAGATTAAAGAGAGTAAAATTAAGTTGCAATCTTGCATAATATACATCTATATACATGTTCTTGTATATGTTATTGTACATATATATATATATATATATATATATATGTACTGCAGATGATCTCCAGGCAATCTCTTGTGCCACCCGACGTAAGTGCAAATTGTTGTAACATTTGCTGACGCCTTCGACGTCTCGTAGACACAGTTGCGTCAGTTTCGATCTCTCTGTTCTGGGTAATCTCTGTGCTCGTTGGCACTTCGCTGGGATACGAGCTCATTTATTCCTACATATTGGCAAATAGACGATTCCCAGGAATTAGGAATACGACTCTTCTTTGTCAGAATTTTTAATTTTAAGAGAGTTCTACTCAAAGTAGGTTATTTTTTTTTAAAGCGGAAAGAGACTTTTTCAATCTTAAGTTCCGAAAAGACAAACGAACTGATAGTTATTGGTACTTAAATTAGTTACAACATAAAACATGTAATAAAGATTGTACAAACGTCCTCTAGAAACTACCGATGACTGAGTCAAACCGAAAGATCAAGTACCAAAGACGTAATAGACTTGTAACAAGTGTGATATCACGAGTAATCACGTGTGTACAGCGACCACAAGCGCACGTACCTAATTATTTCTTTTACTGTTTCAGTTGATATGTTTAATTTCCCTGTCAACATCTTTAAATGGTCTTTTCAATGTACATGCAATTATATTTACCCCCCCCCCCCCACACACACACACACACACACACTCCCAATCGACACAATTGTAACACCGTAAGATTATTTCAAACATAGGAACTCCAATTTTAATGTCTTTCTCCGATACGACCGAGCCAAATTGGAGGACAGCCTAAAAAAATCCTCCAAAACAATTATCGAGTTCAGAACGCTTTGTTGGGGATTCGAACCAGGGTCATCGCTTCCGTAGTCCTGCAAGATATCAACTGAGCTAACAGTGAGCCCGCATCAGAAGACGCCAATAAAAGAACGACCGAGCCTTTATGTGGCTTCCTGTTGAGAAAAGGATTGTGTACAAGTTGGCCACCCTATGTCACAAATGTTTGAATGATAATTCTCCATTATATTTATCAAATCTGTTAAGACTGTATATTCCAACTCGCAGTTTAAGGTCATCAGCTGACGAAAAGAAATTTATTTTACCATCTATGCAACTTAAAACAATGGGTGAAAGGGCATTTGAATACCAAGGCCCGAAGATCTGGAATGCTTTACCAAGTACTTTGAGAGAGATCAAATCTTTTGATTCATTCAAATGTCAACTGAAGTCGTTTCTGTTTTTAAATTAATAAGATGAATATTTGGAATAATTTTCTTTAGTCAGAACACAACGTTTTATGTTACTGTTGTATGTTGTACTATATAGTAAAGCGCTCACAGCCTGTGTACTTTATTAGGGGTTGAGCGCTATATATAAATGTCATTTATCATTATTAATAATACATTGTTTTATCGCTTTTTTCTTTTCGAATTTTTTTCATCAAATTCGTCATCGAAAACTTGAGGAAAAGAACGCACCTGTTTACTCAACATGATGTTATTTTACCGTCAAAATGTTATCCATGAATTAAATTTCCCTTTTTCGAAGGCTAATGAGGTAATCCACACTGTGAGCACACCACTTAACGTCCATTATGCTTTTGTTGTTTGCTATAATATTCATTTCTGGGGGGGTTTGCGAATGGCTACAAATGATGCCCAGAATTTAAATGACAAAATTGTTGGGGAGGAGGGAGGGGGGGGTTTACATGTTCACTTCAGCCATACAAAAATTGATAATATCTAAATCTTTCGAAGCCACTGTGATTTCCATTAACTTGTTAAAAAAGTAGCAAACATATAATGTGTGTGGCATCGCGGGGAATCCAGGCGCTCGTCACCATTGTGAAACCCAAGGAACCTATATTTTCAACCGGATGAATCTATTTCTTTTACATTTGTTTTTTACGCTTTCATGTCCATTTAAAGGTCTATTTATGTATGGAATTTACGGAAAAGTGTTGATAAAAAGCACCAAAATAATAATATGGGAATTTCCTGCTTTCACCAAATTTTGACGGCCATTTTCTCATTAATTTTACGTTTGATATCAGGTGACCACCATCTCCTTCCTTCACTATTTTATCGGCTTCTATTAAAGATGGATGGACCTGTTCTTATCTAAGGCAAAACAAATTACCAATCTTTAAGATTATACAAATTTGTTCCATTTTCTCAAAAAATTGCCAAGTGCCGAGCTGTGATACACAAACAAAAATTAGGATAATACAATAAATGTGCCATCAGAAGCAGACAAAAGGCAAAGTTGTGGAACACTTCGAACTATCACACG